CCGTGGTTAACCATGTGGGTGTGTCCAGTGCCTTAACCACCATACCACCTGCTGGTCCCTCATTGGCTATTTCAATCTTGTCTGTAATGTGACTATCAAGGGGTCAGCCAGGCAGTTGCTTGACTCTCAGTTCATCGATAGTCAGCTCACTGCTTCTTAAGGCTAGCCTGCCCTTGACTCAGAAAATCCCTCTTTATATTAAGGCATGTGTGTTCCCTTATAGTGGTCAGCCTGGTGAGAGAGGTCCTGAAGGTCAGGAGTGACTAATGGACCTTTGTAATGTGGATCTGTGGGGTTAGAAAGAATAAATGAGGCCAGCCAGTGGCCTGGTAATTAAGGTGGCTGGATTTCACATGGCCAGCTGAATAGTTCAAGTCCCAGACCATTGGCTTAAAATACACCCTGGGCATACATGTCTAAAATCCCAAAGAGAATGGAGAAGGGATCAGAGCATGGCCATCCCCTCTGGGGGGTGCTTGCTCACTTCCTCTCTCTCTCTCTCTCTTTCTCTCTCTCTCTCTCTCTCTCTCTCTCTCTCCCTCTCTCTCTCTCTGTGTGTCTAAGCCTACATGACCTGTAGCAAATTTCCAAAAAAAGAAAAAAGATTAAATGAGCACAGCCCAGCTAAAGGCACAAGCAGGTTGGTTTGGGGTTTGATGGAACTTAGTTTAGTTGGGTAATTAAGAGGTTTGTTGGGCTAAGAAGGACTAAGGGAGTTAACCCAAATATGCCACTACTCTGGTTAGGAGCTGTGAGAAGCCTAGGAGTGGGCATCGGTTAAAACTGTCCACTACACCACACCAAAGCTAACGGGATAAAAAAGAAAGAGAAGGAAAGGAGGGAGTATCTATTTATGCTCATTTCATTCCTGTGAAGATAGATTTGGAATATCATAAGGTTTTAAAATGTTTCCCAGTGCAGTAAAAGAGACTTGGGTTCTAATTAGTAAAGAGTGTAATTTCTATTAGACTTGGAAATAACATTAACTTGAATCTTACTTTATCAAAAGGATTTATTTCCAGACTCAGAAATCAAAGACACGTAAAGGTCAGATTTTCTACGTTAATGTTAACGTATCCCTCACTCAGACACACGCTGGAAACAAGAGAAAACTTTAATTCGGTAAAAATGTCACCGACGGCCTGAATCATGACGGATTCTGAATGAGTGGCGCCGGGAACACTACATCTTCGCTCTATTCCCCTTCTCCTGTTTCCGTCTTTTTTTCTTGGTCGTGGGAAGGTGTTCTTATCAGGGAGACCTTCACCCACCCGCCCTCCCCAGTTCTACCTTTCCACGGCAGGGAAGGTGCATCCTGGCCGAGCAGGGCCCGCGCCTTCCTC